TAATACTTAATACATTGCATATTGTTGTCTTTGTAATAGTTATTCATATTCTATCTCTTAAAAAGTTATTCTCCTTGCCCCAGAGCATGCTGACACAGTAAGTGATACTGGGCATGGTGGTGCAGGCCTATAATCCTAACTCTTGGGAGGCTGTAAGTAGGTGGATCACTATGAGTCTGATCTAGTAGTGAGACCCTGAACACCCTGTAGACCCTTCTCTAAAATACAAAAAAAAAAAAAAAAAAGTCACTCTCAATGTTAGCCATCACCTTTCCAATATAGATAGAATCAAAGGATTACTTTTTCCTTCCTTCTGGCAATTTCCATACCATAGTTGTCTCTTCTTTGCAACGAATCTTTATTTCTCCTTAATATTGCATATAGTTTTGGTACAAAATAAACATACATAAAAGCTATTCTTACATTCCACTTCTGTTCTTCTATTATTTATAGCAAATTTTATGTAAGCAAACACTCCTGTTTCCATTCTCTGCTCTCCACACTTTGGTGGAGTTTTTCTGAAAGTACCATATCCGGATCCAAGATCAATATTTCTCATAAACTACAAGATTAATTTTTACACATATTTTTGGTTGGTAAGACTTCTGGTGTTGTTTTGGGTATAGTTGTTTTGCAGATAATCTGCCTCTTGGGAACTTTAAAGTTTTATTTTCTTGTTTGAGAATTCTTAAGTTTTAATATTACTTGTCTAGCTGTGTGTGTGTGTGTGTGTGTGTGTGTGTGTGTGTGTGATTTATCACACTAGCACTCATTAATAACTTTAAACTTGATGATTCACATTGATTTTCCAAAGCTATAATTCTGCTATCTACTTTTCCTCTCTTGTCTATTTCTAGTCTTATTGTGTTGTAGTGGAGATTCAAGAGTTGATTTGTGCATTGTTTCCTATACTTAAGGGTATTTCCTTACATATATGAAGAACACAGAGTCAGAGGCACTGAAGTAAATAATTATTTCATTTCTTGATGGATTGTTCTTTCACTATTTTTCTCTTCTTTCCTATTTATATTTTTGTATTAAATTATATTTCATGGCATTAATGTTGCTGTACTAAATGTCTATTTTCAAATTCTGAGGCTGGTTTGGTCTCAAGTTTTACTTTGTAGGCAGCATAGAATCTTGCTTATTAAATATAAACTAATGATTTTAATTGTTATACTATGAATAGGTGCATTAGACTTATAAGTTTAAAATTGTATCCTTTATTTTAAAAGTTATATATATATATTTTTTTTTTAATTTTTTTTTTTGAGGAACCAGGGATTGAACTCAGGCCCTTGCACTTGCCAGGCAAATGCTTATTCTACTGAGGTATCTCCCCAGCCCCCAAGTGATAAAATTCTTGTAAACACTTCTAATGAAATCTTGAGCAATTTAGATTTCTAATGTCCTCCTACCAATCATATTTTAGCAAACATTAATTAGATATTGAACATCTTTATATTTATCCCATAATTCTATGATTATCTAATGTCCTAGCTTCATTTTTCCATAATAATTTTTGCAATCAATCAATATATTTTCTGATCATTCCAATTTATTTTGGCAATTATACTTTCTTAGCCACTGAAGTAATTCTTTGATATTTATTTGAGTGAGAGCACCATGGTAAATACTTTAACCTAATCAGATTGTGCTCATCAATTTCAAACAATCTAACAATGTATAGCTTTTGAATTTTACATTTATTTTTCCTTTTTTTAACAAAATCATTTTCTCTGGTTCTTAGTAAGACCCTGTACCAAATACATAAATTAAAAAATGGAAAATCACTTTCTCTGTTTCTAATTACCTCGCTTTGTGTCTTTTTTCTCTATGTGACTGTTCTGACTCTTTACTGACTCTTTACTGCTCAGCTGTTCTATTATCATGTCTTTATATTTTGAGGTATATTTTGTTTATTTCCTGATGTTCAGCACTCACTGCCCTTTTTGGTCTTGTCTGTAGTGTTTTTATAAGGCTAGAAATGTCTCTATTTTCTTTTCAAATCACATCTCTTGTTTCTTCCCCAGAGCTCAGATGGTGCTGCTTAACAAACACAGCTACATACATGTGCACACATATGCCCATAACTGTACTGTTCACAGTGCTATGTGTATTCCACCAAACATATAAATATATAAACATACACACATGACACATACATTAATATATAAGTATAGATAATCACATGGAGTTAAACACAAAAATATAGTTGCTCACCAAGTGAGAAATACTACATAGTGAGAAATACAAGTTTAGATTCAATCTTCTGTGTGTGGATAGTTAGTTTTCCTAGCATGATCTGTTGAAAATGCTATCATATATCAGCATATATTTTTAACCTTTTAGCCAAAGATTAGATCTGTGAATGTGCCTGGAGTCGTCTCTGCATCCTCTCACCCATTCTGTTGATAAATATCTCTGTTTCTGAGCCAGGAGGTTGGTGAGATAACTGGTGATACCTCATGTGATGCTCTTGATGTCTTCACTTACTTCTGGTCCTCGAGGTCTCTTCTAGTTTCATATGCGTTTTATAATTGTCTTCACTAATTATAATGGGTAGTACTATTGGTATCTTGATAGGAATTGTATTATAATATGTATCAGTTTGGGAATTATGGCTATTTTGAAAACATTGCTTCTTCTTGTCAAAGAACAGGGGATATATTTTCATGTTCTGATGTCCCCTTTAATCTTCTCTTACAAAGTGTTAGAGTTTTCATGCCAGTAGTCTTTACTTTTGCTAGTTCATAAATTTTTAATTCTTGAAACTATTGTGAATAGTATTGTTTTTAAAAAATTTATTTCTTGGTTAATTATTAGTGTACAAAAACCCTATGGATTTTTGTGAGCTGATTTGTGTGTGTTGCACTGCTGAATTTGGTTATTACTTCTGTAAGTCTTTTGGCAGAATATTTTCAGCCTTCTATTTAGAAAATCATGTCATCTGCAAATAAAAATTTAATTTCTTCCTTTCCTGTACATATCCCTTTTCTTTCTTTCCTTTGTCTAGTTTCTGTAACTAGGATTTTGAGTACTATATTGGACAGGAATTGTGATAGTGGATATCCTTGTTTTCTTCCTCGTTATAGAGGAAAAACTTTTCATTTCTTCTAATTCACATGATATTGCGAGTACACTTGTCATATATTATTTTTTTCAGAATAAAATAAAGTTCTTCTCTACTTATTTTCCTGATTTTTTATCATGAATAGATGCTGGATTTGTCAAAGGCTTTTTCTGAGTTTATAAAGATGACTATGTGATATCCTCATTTTGATTCATATGATGTATTACACTAATTGATTTGTGCATGTTGAACCATGCTCACATTTACTTACTACCATGTTTTCTGAAAGGAACAACTAGGTGGAAAATAATCAGTATTGAAAACTAGAGATAAAAACTGCCAGCCCCTAGCAACCTCTCCTCACTTTAAGTCCCCAGTATTCTCTTGCTTAGTAGCAACTCTTTAGGAAGGTACGTCATAGATTGCCCGATTGGAGCTGGCATTTTTCATCACTAGTTTTCATCGCCAATTATTTTCCAATATTTTTATGGAAAATAATAAGAAAGTATTACCCACCAGCAGTAGTAGGCATATTAATTCAGTCTTCTCTGTCTTCTGTTAAACAGTCATATACCTCCTGACAGCAACCTCTTCAGCAATGTTACTTGAACAAAGTGTGGTCAGCTACCATGTGTCGTTAACGTCACCTGAGTCTATTCTCAGGCCTATTTATATCCACTGAATCATATTGTGACAGTAGATCCAGGAAATCTGACTTAATAAGCTCCCTATGTGACTTTTTTTTTTTTTTTTTTTTTTGTGGAACCGGGGATTGAACTCAGGCCCTTGTGCTTGCCAGGGAAGCACTTATTCCACCGAGCCATCTCCCCTGCCCTCTCTATGTGACTTTTATGCATACGCAACTTGTGAAGGCTTCTCTAGTTAATATGAGACCCCAGTTCTTGGGTGCATAGTAGAACCACCTGCGATGCTTGAAAATGCCAGAGCTGGAACTTTCCCCTGGATCAGTTATATCAGAATTTCTGGAAGCACAGAAACTTATAACATGCTTTGTCTGTAGTGTACATCTAGGGTTGAAGACCATCCTTCTAGTCAATCAGTTCTCCATGGGGCTAATTCTGTACACTCACCACAAAATATTTGCAAAGTCTGGAGACATTTTGGAGATGGTGCCACATCTATACATAATACAAGAAGCAAGAAATCCTTTCCACTCCAACAAATGATTTTCTGGCCCATGTGTCAGTGTTACTGAGGTTGAGAAACTGTGCTATAATTCGTGCTCTATCTTAGTTTTGACTCCTCCATTTAAAACATCCTTGAATAAAAACAGCTTTGAGGATTACAAAGGTTTTCACTTTCAGAATATGAATCAGCAGGTGTAGGATCAAATTGAAAATATATCCCCAGGTTTTTGTTGATGGCACTTGGGTACTCCTGAAAGCTAAACTTCGAGATTCTCTAATCTTTTCATATAAATGCTCTTATCCTTCTGAGATTAGGGGCACACTGATGATTAGAGGTGATTAATAGGAGATGAAGAAAAAATAAAGTCTTGGTACAAATTTTCTGTATTTGAATTCTTTATGTATTTAGTACAGAGTCCACAGAGTCTCACTACATAGATCAGACTCATAGTGATCCTCCTGCTTTCAGCCTCCCAAATCCTGGGATTGCAGGTATGCACCACCATGCCCAGTCTCAATTACCATCTGTGCTCCTTGGAGGCAGGGCCAGCACAGCATGCCAGAGATTGAACCCTGGCCACTGTGTTTTGCCTAAAACACAGGTGCTTTAGTCCACTGAGCTATCTAGCTGGCCCTTGAAGTTTAGTTTAATTACCTATCTTGTTTTATATTTTGTCAATATGAAATATGATCTTGTTCCTTTTATTATTGAATATATTCACCTTTGTATATGTTCCCTTAACATAATCATATATTAATACTTTGCTTTATTTTTATAGTATAAAAAGAAAGGTGGAATATGAATCTGAAATTCAATCTTTACTGAAACTGACGGCAAAGAATAATGATTATCTCAAACATCTATACAAGGAGGCTTATCAAGTTGGTGCTGTTTTCCATGTTACCAAAAATAAAACAGATGAAATGGAACTTAAAATATCAGATGTGAGAAGAAAATTTAAGGTTATGTATCTTGGTGTTCTTCTTAACTATGAAAACAGAGTATTCAGCCTGAATTTTATTGAATTGGTCTCAATAACTTCTAATTTATGGATAAGTAGTCTAAGAATCACCTCTTTTGATGAATAAGAATAAAAGATCATATCTCTTCAAGCTTGCATAGGAATGGATGAAAATTCACCATTCCAAATCTTACATACCTATGTAAGATTATCCACGAAACACCTCTTGGAACACCAGGAGTGTAGGGCTTGGTTCTCATTCATGCCGTATATCTAAAGTATAATGAGTGTTGTGGTAGGAACAGGGAACGCTGAGATACACACTCGCATCCTTTGTTGCAAGTTTGCAGGAAGTACCTACATTGCATCTGTGACTTATTAGATTACAGGGTAGCAGTGTGCAGGTGACAGTGATACAAAAACAGCTGCTTCCGTACCTGTACCCCACTGCATTGTAAGAAGTATGATCAATAGTTCATACTCACTGTCATTTGTTGCAGTGTCAGCCCCATTTCACCGCATGTGGCTGTCCACTTCAAATGGCTCCTTCCGTGCATCACGCCTAACACACCTACACTTCTCTCTTTGGCATTTTCTTATTAAAAATTCATGAGTTGGGCTGGGGAGATGGCTCAGTAGAATAAGCGCTTCCCTGGCAAGTGCAAGAGCCTGAGTTCTATCCCCAGTTCCACAAAAACAACAACAACAAAAAACAAACAAACAAACAAACAAACAAAACAAAAAAAAACTCACGAGCATGAAACTGCTATGTAATTAGTACTCTATGTCATAAACCTGTTGTCTCTACCTTTAGTAAACATTGTCTGTGAAATATATAAACTGGAGACATTTAGTTTCCTTGGCAGGAAATGGTCTGTACTGAATGGCTGGGGTATAGTTTCCACTGAATCCAGCTGTTCAGTTTACTTGGTGAACTGTGCCTACATCTCCCAGTGAGTATTTCACTTGGTTCATAGTGTCTTTCATGTTTCAAAGGTGAGAAGTACGGTGAATATTGTGCATAGTAAAAATTAAACTTAAGGTTACTACATTTTAAGGATATAAAGCATATGATTATATATCCAATGTAATAATACAATAATAATGTATTATAATTTAATATTCAATGAATATATTTTTAAATGAGTTTTGTTTTTCATTGAAGATATCCCTAAAGACATCATCATCCACTTACTTCCCTACCTAACAATGTATTTTAATCTTATTTCATTTAAGCAGAAACACTTTATACTGCTCAATTGTATTTCCTATAACTGTCAAAAACTACATTTCCATTTGCACACATATTGCTTCATTTGTTTGTCATTCACTTATTCACATGAATTTTACATTACATTATCATTATTGTCACTAAATTTCTGAATTATTCCATGCGATACAAATATTGGCAGATTAAGTTCAAGTTTGGTATGACTCTATTGCACTTGCTATGATAATAAACTTTTTATTACTATAACTAAATTCTTGAGATAATCACCTTACAGGAAGAGTTTATTGTGTCTCATGGCTTCAAGATTTTCGTTCACATCAAATTAGCCCCATTTCTTAGGTCTTGTAGCAGCACAGTACCTCTTGTCAGGGATACATGGCAAAGAAATTCCACTTAACTCATTTTGTCCAAGAAGAGAAAAAGCATAGAGAGAACTGTATTTCGTGACCACCTCCAAGTCACCTAAAACTTTCTATTAGACTCTGTTTCTTAAAGGTTCATCATTGTCCTATATGGTCAACCCCAGATCAACCCTTCAAAACACAGGCCTTTGGGAATACTCAGTATCCAAACTATCGCACTTACTTTGCAAACCCAAGTAGAGTCATCCCCAAGCTGTCTTACTCCTGCCGAACTGAAGAAAGTGTTTTCCATGTTCTTCTCCCTTCTTCATGGTTCCTAAGAGATCCCTGGAAGGAACAACAGAAATAAATTTCTTTGACATTCCCAGTTACTGAAGAATCCTGCTTATATCTGAACCTGGATATAAGTGGCATTGAATTTCTATAGTGCAATGTGTACATGATTATCTGGGCCAGAGTAGCACTGGATTAAAATTAAATTTCTAGGTTGTCCCTAGACAACTCAGGTTTGTAGCAATTTGTATGCAGCTCCTGTCTGTGGAATGATCCTATTGTCTTTTGCTAAATGATTAATGAAAATCTGTGTACTATTCTTAGTCTATGCCTTATGTGTTCCTTGCAGATATATTGGTGGCTCTTGGTCTGCAACTAATCCTTAAGCCCTGTTATCCAGAAATTAATTATAGCAATTTCACTCTTGGGGTATTTCAGAGGAGTAAACTTTTGAAGGCTTAATGGTAGAATCTCTGAAATTTGTTCTCTCAAGTTAATGCATAATGAACTTATATATTAGGTGGCTATCCTGAACAATCAAGAGTAGATAGAAGTTTCTGGAAATTTCTAACTATAATAGATAATTAGTCTCAAACTTTCCAGTCTTCAATCCTAGTTACTGACCTATTCAGAAATGTCATGTTTGACCAAGTCCTAGGAAAGATTCACCAGTTGGGATAGGAGATAAGTCAGTGATTAACAGAAAGTCAGAGATAAGCCAGGAAGAGAAATGTGTGATCAATAAGAGTTTTCAGGCGGCAGCAAGATAACTCAACTGACTAAAGGCACCTGCTTAAGCAAGCTTAGGCAAGCATAGGAACTGAAGTTCAATCCCCTCCACCACATGTCATGTCACCCCACCTCCAGGGCAGCCTATGCCAGCCAGAGTCTAGGCATAGTGATGCATGCTTGTAATCCCAGTGCTGGGAAGGCTGAAAGCAGGAGGACCACCAAGAATCCCAGCTATGTAATGAGACCCTTCAACAACAAAATACATTAAAATAATAATAATAATAGAAATAATAATGTTAGAACGAAGCAGAAAAACATCTAGAATTGTGTTTAAAAATATATCATTGCACAATAAAATTTTGAAAGTTTTCAGTACATATTAAGTTTTCTTCATACTTAAGTTGAACACTCTTTTTCTGATTTTTGGATGGATTTTTCCTCATAGTACAACTCTGGTAGAAAAGCTAGCTCTTCATATTACTTTGACTCAAGATTAGAATCACAGTGCTAGAACTAAGTGGAATGTAGTAGAAAGGAATGAACAGAGCAGAAAGGAAGGGAGTATGCATTCCACAAGCATATTTATATAAAAATACATATGAATTTAACATTTAATTAAATTACTTTAATGTTTGCAATATTTTGAAAACTATAATCATCTCAGCTATCCTAAAAATATACTTGCATGATTTTTCCCCTTACTTCTTTTCTTTTTTCCCTTTCCCTCACCTTTGTCATTTATTCCTTATGTTCATTTTCTTTCCATTTTACCATATCTGTTATTCCTTTCAGGTTTTATTTATTCTTTCAGGTTCTTACAGTACAGAGACAATACAGGGTTTGATTTATTTCATCTGTGATTGTAGCCTCTAGTTGCATCCACTTATCCATAAGGGCCTCAAGTTTGTCTTTTTTTTTTTTTTTTTTTTTGTGGAACTGGGGATTAAACTCAGACCCTTGTGCTTGCCAGGGAAGTGCTTATTCTACTGAGCCAACTCCCCAGCCCAAGTTTGTCTTTTGTATAGGTGTGTTATACTCCATTGTATAAAAATAGAACATCTTTTTTATCCATTCCTCAGGTGATGGGAATTTTGGCTTCCAAGATTTGGCTATGACAAATTGTGCTTCTATAAACATGAATGCAAAAATAAAATAAATAAATAAAGGTGCACATATATCACTGTGGTATAACATTTTCAGTTCTTTTGGAAAAATATGTAGAAGGGGACTAGAAGGGTTGAATGGGGCTTCCAATCCTAGATTTTGGAGGAGTCTTCATATTGATTTCCATAATGGTAATACTAGTCCACATTCCCACCAGCTGTGGAGAATGGTTCTTTCTCCTCCGCCCCACCAGCCTCTCCAGCATTTGTTATTAGTTGATTTTTTTTATGACAGCCAATCTTTCTGAGGTGAAATGGTTTCTTAATTTTGTCTTAATTTGAATTTCTCAAATGACCAGTGCTATGGAACATTTTTTTCATGTATTTATTTGTCATTTGTATTTCTTCCTCAGAGAAGTATGTATTCATCTCAGATGCCCACTTTTGGATTAGGTCTTTGATTTTTGGAGGCTTGATTTATTTTAGTTCTTTTTTAAAATTTATTTAGTACAGCATCTACAGCGTTTTAAGTACACAAATAGGACTCATACTAATTCTTCTTTTTTCCACCTCCCAAGTCTCAACTGCAGTCTCAGCGTGCCCCAGAGACAGGACTGGCATGGCATGCAGGGGATTGAACCCTGGTCCCTGAATCTGCCTAAGCAGGAGCTTTAATCCACTGAGCTATCTGGCTGACCCTTTTAGTTCTTTCTGTATTCTAGATAGAAGTTCTTTGTCTCAGTGATTCTTTTGGTTTTTTTTAAGTTTTTTTTTTTCCAATTTGTGGGTTATCATTTCATTCTGTTGGTGATTTCTTTTGACATGCAGAAACTTCACAATAAGATGAGATTCTAGTTGTTGATTCTTTGAAGTACTTCAAATGCAGTTTGGTTTTGGTTCATGAATTCTCTGCCAACGACTATGCCTTCAAAATTTTCACCTACTTTCTATTCCAGTAGATTTAGCGTTTCTGATTTAATGTTTAGATCTTTTAACCATTTTGACTTTAGTTTAGTGCATGGTGATAAACCTGGTCTAGTTGTAATTATTGGCATGAGAGAGCCAGTTTTTCCAGCACCATTTGTTAGAAAGTCTATCTCTGTTCCAGTGAACCTCTTTGGCTCATTTATTAAAGAGAAGTTGGCTGAGTCTATTTGAACTTGGATTTGCATCTTCTCATTTGTGCATTGATCTTCTGGTCTGTTTTTTTTGTTTTGTTTTGCTTTTTCCAGAGCCGTGATGCTTTTATAGTGTAGTACATTTATAGACTTTCGAATACTGAACCATTCTTGCATCCCTA